ATAGATAATTCTACCTAGCTCTACAAAATAAGGTATGGAGTCCCGCAAGGGACATGGGAGAAAAAAAAATTAAGACGGACTTTTGCGAGATCTCGCAAAACAAACTCGGGATCTCGCAAAAGTTTTAGCTGCATTCTTCGGAGGCCGCCAGCTCAAAGCCGACCGGGAGGTCGAGGCAAGATGTGCCGGGAGAGCGGTGTTCCCCCCAGCTGTAGTAGGTCTTGACCTCCCGTCAGCTTCGAGATGGTGGGTGTCAGACATCTCCGAAAACATCGGAGCACTTTTGCAAATATGTTATGTCTTGTAAACCGAGCAGATATTTGACGTTTACACAGCTACATTCACGCCTCAAAATATCTTAAAAGTTTATTTTGTGGCCCAGAAAGAGTAATATTACAACTAAGTAGCTGCCGCCATTGTTGGAATTCAACTTTTGCGAGATCCCGAGTTTATTTTGTGAGATCTCGCAAAAGTTCATCGTAATTTTTTTCACCCTTGTCCCTCGCGGGGCTCCGTAATAAGGCGAACATAATCAGACTAACATTTTTACCTTTTCAATCTCAGCAGCTCAGCAGATTTCACCAAACATAAACGTTTAACATTTAGATAAGTAAATGTAGCTACTGTGCCTCTATTGTGTAGAGACTGAAAACGTGAAAAATAACAATAAGGTCTGACACTGTCAGAGTAAGATGTAAGAAAGGCAGGACAAGACAGGAAGATTTTGTTTGTTTTGTTCAAAGATAACTGCACTGTAGGTGACATTTGATAAACTGGACAGAAATTTTCCTTAAAGTCCTATTTATTTTTTTAATCAAATATTGGAACTGTATATTATATAATGCAGAGTTTTGTTTTTCCTGCAAAACAAACTGTAGTATAATAATAATTGTGTAATAAAAAGGTTGGGGTGCACATGGTTAGTATTAGGCTGCATTAAGGGTAGCATTCATGTATTTAAGAGGATGATGCTGATAAAATTTACTTGCCAAATTTGACATTTTATACTAGCTTTATAACATGTAGGCATGAGACATCTGCTCATGTCATGTTGAATTCAGTTGGCCAAATCCACAAAGAGCAGCGTCACAGGTCAGCTGACCACAATTTGTACACATTTTAATATATAGTGGAGTTCACAATACATATTAATATGCAACTTATTTCGAAGGGATATTTTCCCTCACATACACCTGCTATATTCTCCTTTAACCCCTACATGTAACCTTTTCATTTTCGGACTAAGAGTATTTATTCATGACCCTAAACTAAACACCAATAATACGAGGTGTAATTTCTTTTTAAATGACACTAAGATTTTCTGGATTTAGGTAAATCAGTTTAAATAATAAATATTATATCAAGATCATAGACTCACATTCAGAATAAGTCCTACATGATATATATTATTATACCTGATATCTTTTAGATTAAGAATAATCATAATAAATAATGACAATCTCTTGCCCATGTACTTTTTTCTAAAGGTCAGATACAATGAACTGCTTGTTTTACCAGAGCAAATGTTAATTGTGTCAACAAAACCTTTCCCAAAAAACATGTCAAAGTAGACAATGGTTGGTTTTCGTATGTTATAGCAGCACATGCACTGTTGTCTCTGCATGGTTTAATGATAACAGAAACTCTTGGTCTGACTCAAAGCAAATAGATCAGCTGGCTTTAACTCAGAAAATTTAGTCAAGCAGAAACGTCCACACGGAAGTACCAGAAACGCAGATCCTGGAAAGGCTGTTTGACATTGACTCCAAAGTGGAGAAACTAAATCCCACAGACTCCTATGGTGAAATGCCCACATTAACAATTAAAATGCATGTCTACAGCTTTTGAACAGTAACAACTATACGATGGGTGAATTCATTGATTTGGAAACTGTTCAAGCTTAAAGTTAGAGGCAAGGCTGCTTTGATTGCCAGGTGTAGCTGTAGCCAGTCTTGCGCACCAGGCCCCATCTCTACTAATTTCTTTCACTGAACTGGACCAGAGATGCCACAATGTAAAGACGTGGTACTGTTAGAAATCTGGGTTTAAATACTTGGGAGATTTGTGTAACAGCAAA